ATCTTAAGATTTGGATCCGAATCTTGAGAGTGGTAGCCGTTTAGAACCACTATGATTGGAAATACGACTCGTGGATTCAGATTAGTTAATAATTTAGTTTGTAAATCTTTAGCCAAGCTTAAGATGTCTATGAAGAAGGATGAGAAAAACCAATACTTAACAATACCTAACTGGTAGACCGGGCCGCGGGGACGCTAAGCCCCGAAATCATCTCAAGATTAGGTACTCTAGTCACTGAGGATTGGAAAGAGTGACACAGGCTGTGATTGGATTAGCAGAACCTGTCAATGGAAAAGCAAGACCACTTCATTCAATTGATTAGGTATCGGAATTGATTAGGAATCCCTATGGAGCACAAACTTCAAATTATTTTAAGATTGTGGCAAACCAATAAGAACTAAGTAATATTTTAGTGTAGATATCATTAAACTGTTTAAGCAATTTTAAGGCCCTCCTTAATCAAGAAGTCTGATTAGTTAATTTTAACGAGCAAACGCCACTCAGGTTATAGGATTAGGTAAATCATATTAGGTGATTGTATCCAGATTATCACACGCACGAAGTATTTCGCACACTAAACCCGTTCACTGTTAATTGAAGGTAGAATTAAGTTGGTAAGTATATTCTGCTCCTTTAGAGCCAAACAATTTAACACCTGTCAATACACACCTGTCAATACACACCTGTCAATACACACCTGTCAATACACACCTGTCATTAATAATGAAGCACAAGGGATTAACAACACTAAAGTCCTGTTCAATTGTAGTCGCACTTTAAAGGCATTAAACCTTAATTAGTAAGAAAGAATTAACTCTGTTTATAGTCGTGTATCTATTAACATATATCCATAAATTTGTAATAAGTTAACTTTCAAAACCTCTAATTGCACTCATTTAGGCCTATCTTGCGATTATCTTGCGTTAGTTCCGGGGCGTCAATGTCCTCGCGGCCCGGTTTCTATTTTTCATCTATTATGTATACTACATATATTTCAAATACACGGACACACACATACACACATATCCCCCAGGAAGCAGCCCGTAGCAGCTGTCTAACTACCAGATACCTATTTACTGCTAGGTGAACAGGGTCATAAGGGTGAAACTCTGCCCATTAGTTTCCGCTTTGGCCGGGAATCGAATCCGGGCCCTTAGGACTATGACCCCCGAGCGCTGTCCACTCAGCCGCGAGGTCCCAAGGCTACACACTCACACACACACATGCTCTGTATGTGTGTGTGTGTGTTTGTGTGTGCGTGCGCGCGCGTCGTTTAGATATCACAATTAAATGTATGTTTCAGGAACTGCAATGTAATCTATTCATTCGGTAATACTACCAGAGATGTAAACGATAGCAACCATCTGATATGACATTTTTGATGAATTGTTAATTTTAATCAAGTGAGGGATGAATAGAGTCTGAAAGTGCTATATTTAACCTTGTTTGATTAATCTTCAGAATATTAACCCTTTTTATATCATCACTTTCCTTTAAATGTTTGAGTAATTCTGCGGATTACGAATAAACTATATCTTCTCTGAATATGTAAGATTTAACGCTGATGTTATTAGGTTATATAGTTTTATCAGAAGGTTTTCTTTATCTCTGAAAATGTTAAATTTGGATATTTCTTTATATTACACATAATTTGTTACACACAGAAATCATGATAGCGTGATGCATCAAATGAACAAATCCACAAAAGCCGAATTCGATTAAGCCAGCGTCTGGGATGCTCTCGGACGTAAGTTCGAATCCTCGTCACAGCTCTTGTTGGATTTGTTCACATAATTTGTAATAACTCTGATGGATCTATAAAAAGCCCCCCTTGTTGAGTTTTTGGTCAATAACGAACAGTTTTGAGGAACTGTCAGGGATGAAGTTAGGAAATGCTTTACTTCTCCATGTCATCTTAGAACCAGCAGTTTGTTTACCTTTTGGAATCCCATCTGCTGCCACCATTGAATATAATCAGCTTGAACCTATTTTACATGCCTTTACAACTAATAGGGCAACATTTTCCTTTCTTAGACCTTTTATATAGAAAAATAGGCCGTTCAAACACAAACTGTTGCCCACGTTTCAATGGTGAAGTGAGCTTTAAGTACACACCAAAGATGAATATATATATGCATAATAACTTAAGATATATAGAGTGAATATGCAAGTGCTAAAAGCAGGTGAAAGGAAATTGCTGAAAGAAACGGAAAAAAAATACCTTTATTGTTTCATCAAAGGAAATCCCTGAAAACAGAAGAAAGAAAACTCCTTTAGAAAGTCGACGAAATACAGCTACGTGAAAGGAATCCATTCTTTGATATTAGCATCGAGTCCTTGATCCCTAGTGTGTGCATTAGTCTATGTTAATAGCGAGTGCATCATTAGCATATCATATATCTTCAGACCTGACTAGTTCACAGATTAGTTGTATAATGACGTGTTAGATCATGAAGAGAGAGAGAGAGAGAGAGAGAGAGAGAGAGAGAGAGAGAGAGAGAAGGCTTCAATTTCCAGCGCCCCGAATCACACTAGACAGTATATGGATCTGACCCGGGTTGTGAAGGTAATATTATTTTGGTGAAATTAAACCATTCTGGTAGGACACCATGTATGTAGAGTACATACATGGACGTACGAGGACGTGGGGGTCCTCGTTCCCCCCCCCCCCTCCCACCACCACACAACTCTCTCTCTGTCTCACACACACACACACACACTAACTGTAAACATGACCCCATGATGCGGGTATAAGCAAAAGCTTCCCACGTCAGACGCTCTGTGCCCGAGGGAGCCCAACCTGTTCCACCAGTTTTTACACCGGCGCCAAGCCTAGGCTGCTGATGAAAGCCGCACTCAACGTCTCCACTGCTTCTGTGCCAAACTTGTTCCATCAGTCATTGCCCCCGGTGGGCTGAGCACCGTGTCATCATAATAAACTATGACACGTCAGCAAATCACTTTATGTCTATCACTTAAAGAGGTAACTGCCGTTCGAAACGAAAGCGGGACAGATTCGAACACTAATCAAGCTGGTGGGAACCGAACGATTTGAACAGGAGCAGCCGGATGACAAGAATATCTCTGCCGTAGGCAAAATAGCAACAAAAAAAGACACTGTTCTCTGAACAGATTTGAACAGGCACAAATTAAATACCTGTTCTTATGTGAACAAACAAACAAACCTCTCCTTTTATGACCTCTATTGTCTAGCCTAAATTATAGGCCTATATATATTTTTTTATTAAGCCTTAAGTCTAGTGAATTATCTTTTTATTGGGACTTTGTTGATTATATTTTTCCTATAGTAGCCTGAATGACAATTTTTAATTCCTTCATGTAAATTACTTTGAGGTTATATGTAGACTTGAGGTATATATAGACTCACATATACACACACACAGCAATCACAGTTAGGTGATTGAATAGCTGCGCCTTAGTCAACCTGAATATCAAAGTTGACTAAGTCGCAGCTGGGAAAAAGGAGAAATGTAAAAAGAGCAATTAGACGACATGGATAGAGAAGAATAGGTGGTAAAAAAGAGGGAGAGAGAGAGAGAGAAGGTAAAGAGGGGGGAGGAGGGGGGCAAGACAAGCCAGAAAAAGGGTGTCTTGTCCAAATATTGGAACACGAAAGGCGAAATTCTCTCAAATATGTGTTTCACAAGCGCAGGAGTTGTGGTGATGGGGGTAGGTGTGTATTGTTGTGATAGGGGCAGGTGTGTATTGTGGTGATGGAGGCAGGTGTGTATTGTGGTGATGGGGGCAGGTGTGTCTTGTGGTGATAGGGGCAGGTGTGTATTGTGGTGATGGAGGCAGGTGTGTATTGTGGTGATGGGGGCAGGTGTGCGTTGTGGTGATAGGGGCAGGCTGTGTGGTAGTGATGATAGAGTTTGTTGTGTTAAAACATTGCTTTGGTCTACAGAAAAAAACAAAATATCAGAATGGGAGATGAACCATGAACCAAGAGCGTGGTTCCTCAAGGCTCGTCCACCGGTTCTCTTTTGTTTCTCATGTAGTTTAGGCTTCTCGCCTTAAACTGAGTAAAAGCATTGTCAAGAGCATGTCAAGAGCATGTCAAGAACGTGTCAAGAGCATATCATAATTTTGTGAAAACTTAAATCACTCAAATCGTACTCCTTGGAAAAAAAAGACGAAAATGGAATTCCTTCATTTACAGCTGGAAGATACTGGAAGGTCACTTTCCAAGTCTGGAAGATACTGGAAGGTCACTTTCCAAGTCTGGAAGATACTGGAAGGTCACTTTCCAAGTCTGGAAGATACTGGAAGGTCACTTTCCAAGTCTGGAAGATACTGGAAGGTCACTTTCCAAGTCTGGAAGATACTGGAAGGTTAAGTTTTAATTCTGGAAGATACTGGAAGATCAAGTTCCAATTCTGCATACTAAAATTACAACATACTGGAGTAGAAGATATGGCAGGAAGTGCAAAATCACTCTAATACAAAGAGGTCAGGATGCCACAAGCACAGAGAACACAGCGTATATATATATATATATATATATATATATATATATATATATATATATATATATATATATATATATATATATATATAATATATATATATATATATATATATATATATATATATAAATTTCAAGAAAGAACTGAGACAAGTTTTTGTTGAAGTTACTGGATCAGCCAGACTGTGATGGCTATGTGAAGACACACAGCCTCACAGACCAAGCAGTCACCAAGGCAGATTGGCCAGACTGTGGGAGCAGAACTCTCAAGATCACTCAGAGGTGTTCTAGCAGGTTACATGCAGGTCGGTGGTCAATCCCCGAGACCGTCCAAGTGGTTTGGCACCATTCCTTTCCCTCTGTCCCATCCCAAATCCTTATCCTGACCCCTTCCAAGGGCTATATAGTCGTAATGGCATGGCGCTTGTCCCTGAGATAATTCCTTCCCCTTCCCTCTTTCTCCAAAATTTGCATCTTTTAAATTCGTTTTTGTATTCCTTATTTTTATTGCTAGTTTAAATAGCCAAAATTCTCGAGAAATTCAAGAGTTTAATAGCCAAAATTCTCGAGAAAGTCTAGAGTTTAATTGCCAAAATTCTCGAGAAATTCAAGAGTTTAATAGTCAAAATTCTCGAGAAATTCAAGAGTTTAATAGCCAAAATTCTAGAGAAATTCAAGAGTTTAATAGCCAAAATTCTCGAGAAATTCAAGAGTTTAATAGCCAAAATTCTCAAGAAATTCAAGAGTTTAATAGCCAAAATTCTCGAGAAATTCAAGAGTTTAATAGCCAAAATTCCCGAGAAATTAAAGAATTTAATAGCCAAAATTCTCGAGAAATTGAAGAGTTTAATAGCCAAAAATTCTCGAGAAATTCAAGAGTTTAATAGCCAAAATTCCCGAGAAATTAAAGAATTTAATAGCCAAAATTCTCGAGAAATTGAAGAGTTTAATAGCCAAAATTCTCGAGAAATTGAAGAGTTTAATAGCCAAAATTCCCGAGAAATTCAAGAATTTAATAGCTAAAATTCAACGCCAATTCCAGAGAAAGCTTCCGATATCTCCAGCAAGGATAAGATGGCATGATATGAACTACAGTACTTGAAGGAATGACACGATCCATTGGACCCGATTGATGAACGGTCGTCTTGCACGTAGATAATGACGTCAATTGACCATACATCAGGGGGCCTCTTGCAATGTTGGAGATACTACGAAGATCAATACAAGGAAATGCCATTAGGTGAATGGGGTTTGAAGGGGTTTTGAAGGGGTTCGAAGGAGGGGTTTGTTTGTGAAAATTTGAATGATACAATGTTGGAGTTTATTTTGTAATGTGAGTAAATGTGGATTATTCGGATTGCTAAAAAATGATGTAACCGGATTTATGAGGCTATAGACGAAAGGCATTAATAGTCCTGTGAAATAACCGCGAATTATCCTGTCCATTTTCGCGCGAATGATTTCTTGTTTGCGGCCCGCTATTAACACGCGAAACTCATCTATTTTGAGGGGAAAAGATTGCGCTATCTCTTCCAAGTTACGCACCGATTAGCTGTCTGTTATATGTGGATAATATTATTTCACGTGGTCAGCACTTTTTCGCGTTGATAACACGAAGATAACATGAGGATTAACATGATTTCCCGACGATTAAAACTATTTCACGAGGATTAAAACTGTTTCGCGTGGATAAAATAAGTCCCCCAGAACTGAATCCAGAGTGGCTTCTCTCTAGAGGATTGGTGAATGCATGGATAAACGAGCAATTAACTCATAAATGAATAGGGAAGGGATTGGATGTATTAATGATTAGCTAAAGGGATAGCTAACTGAATTGGCGAAGGGGATGGATAGACATAAATGGATTAGGAAGCGAATGAATGGAAAAGTAGAATGATGATTTGATGGATTTGAAGGTTGAATGAGATGGATGGATGAACTAGGGGGATTGATGGATAAGTGACAAGGTGAATGGAATGATTGATGAATATGTGGGGGATTGAGCAATGAACAAGGAGGCTGGATTGATAAGCAAATGGATAGGGATAATTGTCTTTTGATTGACGAAACGACTGGATGTGATAGATGGGTAAACTCATACGCAAAATGGATTGATGGGTTAGTACATGATAAGTGAATGAGGTGTACTCATCTAGTTGTGCTTGCGGGGGTTGAGCTTCGGCTCTTGGGTCCCGATGTGTGGTAGAGTTCAGGTTAGCTATACTCACGTTGGCTCAGAGGAGCAGTCTAGCCTCCAGTTTTATGAGCAAACTATGCAAATGGGGACTTTGAGGTGTCGCCTTGATATATAGCTCGGTTTTTGTCACATTGTGCGTGTGCGTGCGTGTGCGTGCGTGTGTGTGTGTGCGTGTGTGTAACACCAGCTTGTCCATTCATGTTGCTCATGGCTGACCCATCCTCGCTGCCAGAACTACGATGATTCCAGTTCGCATATTTCCCTCACCCTCTAATTCTCTACTTCCCAACTACCCCCCCCCCCTCCTCTCCCCTCATCCAAATATCCCCCCCCCCCACCAACATCTAAATACACCCCCCCTTCCCCTCTCTTCCTCCCCCCCCCCATTCCCCTCCACCTACCCACCACCAACACCTAAGTTATCGTACACAAAGATTGAAGTTGTCGTGCCGGTGAGAATAAGTTGTCGTTACTGTGATAAATACTGCGTTTGCAAGATTGGATTTTATTTAAAGTTATCGCACGCCAAGAGGGGCGCTGGCGAAGAGGAAGGGCAGGGAGAATGTTTATTTCTACTTGATGATAAAGTCGACGAAAAAAGATGTTATGAATTGTGGGTTATTACATGGTGGTGAGTTTCGTCACTTGGGGGTTACGAAAGGGACCAGATTCACGAAGCAGTTACGTAAGTACTTACGAACCTGGGGCCAGATTCACGAAGCAGTTACGTAAGTACTTACGAACCTGGGGCCAGATTCACGAAGGCAGTTACGGAAGCACTTACGAACGTGTACATCTTTCCTCAATCGTTGACACCTTTTGGTTGCATTTATTAAACAGGTTTACAAGCATGAAAACTTGCAAATCAACTGTTGTTATTGTTATAAACAGCCTCCTGGTGCTTTGGAGCTCATTAACTGTTTAATAATTGTAAACAAAGCCGACAAAGATTGAGGAAAGGTGGACAGGGGGCCAGATTCACGAAAGCACTTACGCAAGCGCTTACGAACCTGTACATCTTTTCTCAATCTTTGGCGGCTTTGTTTCCAATTATTAAACAGTTAATGAGCTCCGAAGCACCAGGAGACTGTTTATAACAATAACAACAGTTGATTGGCAAGTTTTCATGCTTGTGAACTGTTTAATAAATGTAACCAAAACCGTCAAAGATTGAGGAAAGATGGACAGGTTTGTAGTAAGTGCTTGCGTAACTGCTTCGTGAATCTGGCCCCAGGTTCGTAAGTGTTGGCGTAACTGCTTCGTGAATCTGGCCCCAGGTTCGTAAGTGTTGGCGTAACTGCTTCGTGAATCTGGCCCCAGGTCCTGAAGGAGCGCGAAATGACTGTAAATTATCGTACCCTTGAAGTGAGTATAGATTTTTTTGTTTTGTTTTTTGTGATGTTATCGTACAGTGAGTGTGGTAGGGGGTGGTATTTTATTCAGTGGGTCACGATTTATCTTTTTCGGTGGGCTAAAATATCATATAAATTGGGGCATGGATAGCTCGATGTATATATATTTTTTTAGGCCAATTATGCTATCGTGTTTCCCGTGGAAGGTTATCGCGTTTAGTGGGGAGATAGTCAATCATTTTGTAATGGTTGTGAGTAGAGCAATTTTGGTGCTCACGAATGTGTGTGTGTATGTTTGTGTGTGTGTGTGTGTGTGTGTGTGTGTGTGTGTGTGTGTGTGTGTGTGAAAACTAGATTTTATCGTTTGTCTTTTTCACTTTGTTTCTGCTTTTTATCATTTCTCGTCTGTACTCTCTCTCTCTCTCTCTCACTCTCTCTCTCTCTCTCTCTCTCTCTCTCTCTCTCTCTCTCTCTCTCTCTCTCTCTCTCTCTCTCTCTCTCTCTCTCTCTCTCTCTCTCTCATTGAGACTTGCGTGGAACCGAACATCGTTAATCCACAAAAAATTGGAGCTCTGAAGATGACTCAAATTAGCAATTTTAGCGGTATCATCCACGCTGGAAAATGTCTCTCCCAAGGGGACCAGTTCTCCTCTCACCTTGACCTTTATCGATGGTTGACGAAGCTCCATAAATACTACAACCTGACCTTCTCCGCAGCTGCTCTCTAAAGAATGAGAAAGGAACTTACTCGAGCGTCATAAATGTGTTTTTTTTTTAATTTGTGTCGCTCTTTTAAAGAAGTTGGACACCATTCCTTTTGACCCCTCCCCCCCTCCGTCTCATCCCAAATCCTTATCCTGACCCCCCTTCCAAGTCTAATGATAGGGGGCAAGTTTTCAAGGTATATGAAGCAACGTGGTAATGATTTCAGCATCTTTGATAAATTTCATTGTCCCCATTGTATAGGGCCTATGGGTTTTTCTTAAGCAAAATGTCGACGAAATGTATACAATTCCTCCAAAATTTTGCTACTCTCTCCTATTCTCTACTGCCCAATTACTCCCCCCTCCCCCTCCCCTCAATCCCAATTGCCATTTGAACACAGTTTGAAATTAGAGTAAACTGCCCTTCTTGTAATCACCTTCCACTTCTCAAACAACTGCTTCAGCGTCTTCTATCTACTCGAGCTGTTTCCTGCTAGGTATGCTGCCAAACCGTTCCCACCACCGCCCACGGGTTGGGTATGAGGTGCATAATAAATAAAATGAAAAAAAAATGCCACAAAAGTCATTGTTTATGAACGAAAAACTTTTGCATACAACTCATGATGAAGATCGAACTCTTCTCGAACATGTCGTTCGAATTCAGTACACTTTTTCGAATCGCATCAAAAAGCATTTTTTTTTTTTTTATCAAGGGGTGGACCGTCGTTTGAGGTCGCACCATTATAGAAGCTTGTGGACAAGTTGTCTTAAATCAAGTCAGAAGCTTCTGTCAAAATGCTCATACATCTTGTATTTCTTGCATGGTACTGTATGACTGTGAAGAACAGGGATATACACACACACACACACACACACACACACACACACACACACACACACGCACACACGCACACACCCAGAGGCGAATGACATTTCTTGTTGTAAATACACCGAACTTGAGGGAGTTTGATATCACACTGAATTTGCTACCTCAGGCAAACATCAAAGGTCTAGCATCAATTACATATGCAAGGTTGGTTGACCAATATTGCAACTGCCTTTAGAAACCCTGAATTGAGTCATTTAGGTTGATTGTATACAACATATGTCAGACGAATTTTGGAATATGCAGTGCCAGCTTGCAATCCTTGTCTCGTTAAGCACAAAACGAAGCTAGACTTGTGCCAGTTGCTTTGATTTACATCACTCAGATATATATATATATATATATATATATATATATATATATATATATATATATATATATATATATATATATATCTGGTGATTGAAGTAAGGTAATCAGGTGATCATGATATGGGTGTAACGACCATTGATGTGAAGCAATTGGCTAGTTAAGTATACGGGGAGTAGTTAGGTTTCTTTTAAGGGAGTGGGTGTGTGTGTTTTTTTAAGAGAGTTATCTTGAGGTTATCTTGAGATGATTTCGGGGCTTTTTTTAGTGTCCCCGCGGCCCGGTCCTTGACCAGGCCTCCACCCCCCAGAAGCAGCCCGTGACAGCTGACTAACACCCAGGTACCTATTTTACTGCTAGGTAACAGGGGCATAGGGTGAAAGAAACTCTGCCCAATGTTTCTCGCCGGCGCTTGGGATCGAACCCAGGACCACAG